TGCGAGCCCCTGCGGTGAGCCCTGAGGTCGGTGTCCCGCGTGCCCGAAGGCCGAGCCCATCTCGCCGTCCCTGCCAGGGGCTGGAGCACGGGGCAGAAAGTGCGTTTGCACTGACAGCCATGTGCCTGGGGCTCGCACCAGCTCCCTGCGCAGAGCTCTGCTCTTAATGTAGCACTCGAAGGCTTCTGCCAGTGCTTTTTACTATTGTTTACTATTGCCTTTCCTATTGTCGTTGTTTATGAAAACGGGTGGTTTGTGCTGAGGTAGAGCTGTACCCGATTTCCATGGAGCTGCGGCTCCAGACAGCTATCCGGTTACGCTTGCTTGGTGACTAATTACTGAGCCTAAGTTTTTATTGCTTCTTGATTCTCAGCCTCCCTGTGAGCAGCTCTGTGGTTTTCCCCTCTGAACCCCTCCAGAGAGTGGCTTTTTGTTTTATTTATGTGCATTGGTCTGGTTGACCGCTTGCCATCCCACTGTGTACTAACTCACGATGGAAAGTCCAACAGCACAGAAATAACTGCTGCAGAAGGATTTCATCCCGGACCTCAGGAAGGAGATAAATTTTAGGTTTTTGTTTGTTTCTAGTCCTATTTCTTTTTAAAAATAAATGGTGCAGTTTCTTTAGCCCAGCTGCGCCCCATCCTCCAACCACGTCCTTTACTTCATCGTACCACAAACACGATGTGGTTGTTCGGTGAGGGTAGGCAGGAGCAAAGTGTACTGCCAGGCTGCTGTGCCTCCTCCCCTCAGCTCCCTGCTCTCCGTGCAGCAAGAGGGAATGTTTCCAGAACAGCCTTCAGGGCGGTAGCTGCGAAGGAGGGATTGGAGCTGGACACTTGAATAGCTTTGGGTATCAGAAAGCGTGTCTCAGATCTGTTGAAATGTGTCATTTCTGCCAGTCTTGGCTGTGCTGGGAAAAACAAACTAGAGAGAATATGCCGTCACTACTTTTTTACCACTGCTTAAATGTTACCTTCTGTCCCTAGCTAGCACTGCTCCTCAGCCTTTCCAAAATACTGGTGCTGGTACTGTTGCTCTGCTTTTCCCAGCCATGAAAATCAGCAGCTCTCCTCACGTGCTGCCGTAGCTTCGGTTGCCTCGAGAGCACACCCTGAGAGCGTGCCATTTGCTAACAGCCTCAGAATGGACCTTGTTTTAAAGCCATTTTGTTCTTCCTCCAGACCCAAAGTGTCCAGGGGACGTGGATCTCCAGAGCGGTGATTGGGACATCAAGACGATTACCAGCTCGCTGAAGTTTTATCTCAGGTAGCACTGCAGGTCCCACCTGCCCCAAGCGGGCGAAGGAGCTGGGGGCTGATCCGGGCGAGGAGCGGAGTGAACTGCCAGATGTTATCACCTGGCTGCTGGAAAGGGCAGAGAAGTGGCAAAGGCTTTGGGAAGAGGAATGGAGGAATGGAGATCTTTTTTCTTCTTTTTGGTTTTTTTTTTTGAGAAATATGCTGGTTGTAGAAAGCCTGCGTCCTATGGGGATCACTGGTTCAATAACACTGGCTGGGGGGGGGGGGAACGGGGGAGACGGGGGTAGG